TCTACTTGCAATTTCTTGCTTTCGAACGGCTAGGTTGGCAGGAGCTGGAACTAGAGACGGGAGCTCACTCCGTCATGCGGCACACTCGGGTCTCGAACTGCTGAACTACCGACCTTCCGCAGCCTGCAGTTCAGCGTCTTAACCACTTGAGCCACCGCAGCTCCTGACTATGCTGGTAGGTTACACTTATCTTGGTGGGTCACAATTTGTGTAGGCTTGTTCCAAAACAAAACAAAACTCCATCAGTTTGGGTCCATCCTGAGGCAGGACTGATGCCTCCAGTACCATCTACAAAATAATCAGAAGGAAACGATGAAGTCGGACGAAAATGGCATGAATATCACCTTTAATTGGACCATTACGGTCCAGTCTCTATATCCCTTCCATTGAGTAAGAGACCTGGATTACAAAAGATTTCTTTCTGTCTCCATCTTCTCTAGTTCTTGTTATCTAACTTCTCCCAAGAGAGTTGCCACGGGAGCAGTCAGGTTTTCTTGGTCTGAACCCTGAATCAAGTGTCCTTTGGGCAAACACGGGAAGGTAAAGAACAAAGGCCCGACTTTTAAATGACAAAGCTTTCTCAGGAGGTTGCCTGCAATATTGACTGGAAGATGGACAGAAGGAAGGAGGGGGGAAATGGGGGGCTTAAACCAGCAGTCTTCAACTCCTGCCTCAGGAGAAGAGTTGCAGAGCCCCTCTTAGTGACTCTGGAGCCCTGGGAAACACTGGGAGTGGCAGATCAGGTGGCGTGAGGGCAGCAGCCAGCAGGAGTTGTTTGAGCTTTTATTTATTATTTATCAAATGTATCTGGGCCACTTCTCCAGGGAACTGTTTGAAGCAACTCATGTGCGCACAAAAAAATACATTAAACCATGTGACACCAAGGGGTCGTTGTGCCTGCCTATAGCAACAAAACCAAATGGGAGCCAAGCGACACTATGGACTGACAAAATGTATTCCAGTGTTTGCTTTCATTGAGCTCCTGTTTTATTTAGAAATGCAACAACTGTCCATATTTTTCTTTTTTAAAAAAACTATAAAAAACAAGCTGGGGCATAAAAATGGCTTTAAAAGTAGAAGTAGAAGAAGAGGAGGAGGAGGAGGAGGAGGAGGAGGAGGAGATTGGATTTATACCCCGCCCTTCACTACGCAAGGGAGTCTCAAAGCAGCTTACAAACCCCTTTCCCTTCCCCTCCCCACAACGGACAACCCTGTGAGGTGGGTGGGGCTGAGAGAGCTCTTTTGAGAACTGCTCTTTTTCAAGGACAGCTCTTATCAGAACTACAGCTTGCCCAAGGTCATCCAGCCAGGTGCAAGTGGAGGAGTGGGGAATCAAACCCGGTTCTCCCAGATTAGAGTCCACACACTTAACCACTACACCCCACCTCCCTCTTTCCTTGCAGTCCAGTACAGATGATGTAGGGGCAACCAGTGACTTCTCTCCTGCACAAGGCAGGCTACAGCTGCTCCTGCATTTCAGGACTAAAACTGGGGGGGAGTAGTTTCTGAAAGCCCAAACCTGATGGCAAACTCATGGTGTGCCCTGGCCATTGACAGTGATTTTTAAAATGCTGTGTGGCCCTGATCCAGTGCAGGTTCATGGCGCAGAGCTCTGTTCCTCCCCATCCCATGCCTTTTCAAGAGCCAAAACAGCCACAGTGTGTGTGTGTGTGTGTGTGTGTGTGTGTGTGTGTGTGTGTGTGTG